CCCCAAAACCCCAAAACCCCAAAACCCCAAAACCCCTTTTGTGGAGACAAAATTTGAAACAAAATAGTCTTTAGGTAAAGTCAGGCTCTTTTTCCTCAAAATCATCCCCACCTGCTAGGTTGAGGTCTTCGCCCAAGCTTGGGAAAGAATCTTTTATTTGAACAAGAAGTTGAGTCTCCTCTTTTTTAAGTGGTGTTATTTTGTTATAATCATGAAGTGTTTTCTGGAAGAGGTCAACATCTTTCAGCTCCTTCGCTGTAAACAGACTTGATAGCAATTCTCCCTCTCTGCTGTTACTAAATGTAGCATCTTCTTGAGAGAAAGTGTGGTGTCTATTCTTTGCACCTACAAGATCATCATTAGCTAAATAGCAAAGGCACACTTTTAAGACTAATCCTTTGGAACTTGATTTCAGCATGTCCTTATTTCAAATATTCGTTGATAACTTTCTCATAAGTTTGGATTATTTTAACCAGATCAGCCTCCTTAACCATTACCATAAGATCAGCCTCTTTGACATATCATTGACTGGCGAAGGAATGGGTGTCCTCCATCTCATAGAGTTGGGCTGCCTTTTCGTACTCTAAGATAGCCTGAGGGTATTCAGCCTGCTGCTCATAACTTTCAGCAACCTCTTTCCTTAATCTGGCAGCTTGGTCAAGCCTGCCATCTTCAGAAAGAATGACAATAGTCTCTTCAGCAAGTGCTAGATATTCAGCATGATTAACTTTCTTATAGCAAGTAAGAGAATCGAGTAAGTACTGAGCTGGAATTCCATTGGTCTGACGCTCCAGATCAGCACATTTTCTGTACATCTGACCTGCTTTCTCCCACTCCTGTGCGAGTTTGTAGGAATTTGCGGCTTTTTCATACAGCTCTTTGACTTCTTCCATCCGAGCTTCCTTATTAGAGAAGAGGTTTATGAAGCAAGATCCTTTCTCTTTCTTTGATGCCTTCTCTTCATTTTCCCTAGCTGAAGCCAGGTATTTTGAGCCTTCCATTTTCTGATAATTTTTGTCAAAATTTGTTTTGAAAAATGGGGTTTTGGGGTTTTGGGGTTTTGGGGTTTTGGGG